AAATAGATGTTTTATACATGGAAAAATACGGTAGTAATAATAATAATAATAAATAATAATAATATTTCTGAGGGAGTCAGAGCAGCAAATGCCACCCCCACCCCCCAGCTCCACTCCAAGTCAAGGTACCTAATACCCAAAATCTGACTAATTTATTTTAGCACCTGAAGCTGAAAATCTCATAACTGCTTCCCCTCTTCCCTGGCAGTAAAATAATATATGATGATAATAATATTAACTTAACAGTCAGCTGTCATGACACCCCGAAATCAACTGTCTGAGGCACTTGCCTCATCCTGCCTAATGGCAGGGCCGGCAGTCTTAACTAGGGTATCACTTCTTTAAAGAAGTCCTGTTCAAATTTGTTGCACGTGGATAAACCATACCGCCAAAAAGGAAAAAAAGAAGAAGCATTTACTTGTCTTTTGATAATGCGCACCCATAATTTGACAATTTACTTGTCTTTTGATAATGCGCACCCATAATTTGACAATTTACTTGTCTTTTGATAATGCGCACCCATAATTTGACAATTTACTTGTCTTTTGATAATGCGCACCCATAATTTGACAATTTACTTGTCTTTTGATAATGCGCACCCATAATTTGACAATTTACTTGTCTTTTGATAATGTGCACACATTTTGGTTAGACCACTGAAATGAGTAAAGATGGCCGAGAGACAGAGGCGCATTTTTGGGTGGAGAAGAAAGGGATGAAAAGGCAGTGGAAAGGCCAGAGGAGGTGTAAAAGGAAATTAGAAAGCGCGGTAAAAGGAGAATAAAAAAAAATAGGAACAGAGAAGTGAATAAGAGGAAACTCTGATGAGAAAAAGGACTCAATGCAAAAGGAATTAGAGGGGAAGAATGAGATAAAATGGCTTCTTTTTTCAATGGTGGGGGAGAGACTAAGTTATAAGTTGAGTGTGAAAGGAGAACTGGAGACGAAATTGCAGGAGATGGGTAAAAATACCTTGGAAGGTATATGAGTGGGCAGGACAGAGGAAATATAGAGAAAAAGCCTTGCAGCGGTTCTCAACCTGTGGGTCCCCAGATGTTGTTGGACTACAACTCCCATCATCCCTGAGCTCTGGCCTTGCTAGCTAGGGGTGATGGGAGTTGTAGTTCAACAACATCTGGGGACCCACAGCTTGAGAAAGGCTGAATTAGAGCCTCTGAGTTGGCAAATCCTGCCTAAAACGAGACCCAGTTTGAGTCCAGTGACTCAAATGAATTATTCCATTGGTAGGCAACCTAACGCCCGGGGGCTGGATGCGGCCCCATCGCCTTATCAGTCCGGCCCGTGGACAGTCCGGGAATCAGCGTGTTTTCACATGAGTAGAATGTGTCCTTTTATTTAAAATGCATCTCTGGGTTATTTGTGGGGCACAGGAATTGGTCCATTTCCCCCTAAAAAACAGAGTCCGGCCCCCCACAAGATCTGAGGGACAGTGGACCGGCCCCCTGCTGAAAAAGTTTGCTGACCCCTGATTATTATTCCTTTTTCGTATATATTTCAGCAAACCCAATGTCTGAGAGTGAGAAGCACAAATGTTGCGAAGGTGTCGTGATGGAAGAACCCGGTTGAAGAAGAGACCAACCCAGACCTTGTTGTTGGTTGTGCAGGGCCCCCCATGGAAGCTCGAGTTTCAGGGCCCCCCCCCAAATGTCTGCAGATACCGACTCCTCGTGGGTTTCCGAGTGATACCCAAACAGCAAGATGCCGAACTGAACGGATCCAGTGGCGTAGCGTGGGTTGTCAGCACCCGGGGCAAGGCAAGTAATTTGCGCCCCCTAACCCGTGGATTTGCGCCCCCTAACCCGTGGATTTGCGCCCCCTAACCCGTGGATTTGTGCCCCCTAACCTGTGGATTTGCCCTAACCCCAGATGTTGCGCCCGGTGCGGCCGGCCCCCCCTGCACCCCCCACGCTACGCCACTGAACGGATCACTGTGTCTGATCCAGCTGTGCGTTTCTGATGCACCCCTGCAGGATAAAACAGAGTAGCTGACCTGTTTCTGTCCCCCTCCCCAGATGTTGTTGGACTACAACTCCCATCTTCCCTGCCTGTTGGTCGTGCTGGCTGCAGGTGATGGGAATTGACTTCAAACACTGTCTACCCCTAGGATAAAGGAAGTGAAGGGGGAGAAATCATTCAAATCACCCCTGGGCAATTTGGAAGAAAGGCGGGATAAAAACCAGATAGGAGACTGGTTGGAAGCTGGGCACGTATATATGGATCTGAGCCTTCGCTCAACACATGGGTGTAGCCAAGGGGGGGAGGGGGCAGCTCCCCTCTCCCACATTTTGTGGGACGTAATCCACTGAGAGCAGTCAGATACAACATTCCCTGTTTTCCTAGAGTGGACATGCAAGGGGATGTTTGGTCCAGCCTTTTGCATGTGATAGAAGGTGGGCGTGACCTAACCTGTCCAGGTAACAAAAGGAGGAGTCACGCAGCACATCTCTCTCTTTTTCACTTCTTTGTTTGACCAGCTTCTAGCTAGGACTGCCCAGAAGCACTGGGATTATCCCCCCCATATGGAATAGATCCACATGTACATACAGTGGTACTTCGGGATGTGAACGGGATCCGTTCCGGAGCCCTGTTCGCATCCCGAATGGAACATAAGATGCGATGGCGCGTCGGCGCATGCTGTGTTTTGCCGCTTCCGCGCATGCGCGTGACGTCATTTTGAGTGTCTGTGCATGCGCGAGCGGTGAAACCTGGAAGTAACGCGCGCCGTTACTTCCGGGTTGCCGCGGAGCCCAACTTGAACGCGCTCAACCCGAAGCACATTCAACTGGAGGTATGACTGTATTGGTAACTAATTCTGCCTTCAGGGATCCAACTGTGAACTGATGTAAGTAAACTTCTTTTATTGACTTTGACAGGGCTGTCTTTACCCACGGGTGTGGGGCACTCAGGCTTCGAATTCTGGGGGGGTACCAGGAGCCCGCAGCTGAAACCACCTAAGCTCTTAACTATCTACATGTTATGAAATAATAAATAATTTTGATCAAGCTAGAAAAACAAAATACATATATACCTAGGTATTACCAAAATGTATACCTATTGTTTCGCTAAAGAACTTTCGACTTTGTGCGCTCATTTACCAAAGACGTTCCGTGCCATCAGTGGCACTCTCCCCTTTTCCCCTCAAGTTTGTGGTGTCGAAATAAAAATCATCCGGCGAACCATTTCCAACCCGGTAAGAAAAGAAATCTGGGAACGAGAGAAGGCAACCCCACGCCTGCTTTTGTTTGGAGATTTTTTTGGGGGGGGGAGCTGCGCTGCTGTTCCGTGCCTCCTCTCTTAACCGCGCTTTAATTGCTGCAAATTAATTAAAACCTTGGAAACTTCCCGCAGCAAGTGGCTCTGGCGGTGGATTGGGGAGGCAAAGGTGAGGCAAAGGAGCCTCCAGTCCGAGATAAGCGGCGTCTCTATTCTTTTAAGGATTCAAGGGAACTTACCAGGAACGTACAATTCAATCTGAAACAGACCGAATTGTATAATAGTGAGAGGCTCACACGAGCCTGCAACCAACTACAGTGGTGCCTCGCAAGACGAAATTAATTCGTTCCGCAAGTCTCTTCGTCTTGCGAGTTTTTCGTCTTGCGATGCACGGTTTCCCATAGGAATGCATTGAAAATCAATTAATGCGTTCCTAGGGAAACCGCCTTCAGACCAGGTCCAGGGACAGTCTGTCCCCCGACCTCTTCTGAAGGCTGGGGGGGGGACAAGGGCTTTTCTTCCCACCCCCAGCATTTTAAAAAACCACGGGACAGCGGAGGACTTCTCCGCTGTCCGGGGCAATCTTAAAATGCTGGCGGGCGGCATTTTAAAATCGCCCGGGACAGCGGAGGACTTCTCCGCTGTCCGGGGCGATTTAAAAGCCCCTGGGAAGGCAGGCAGGGGTCTTTGCTCCCCCCGAAAGTCTTTGCTCCCCCCTGCCTGCCTTCCCGGGAGAGCAGAGAAAGGCAGCGCGATTCTCCGCTGTCCCGGATGGCTTTTGAAGGCAGGCAGGGGGGAGCAAAGACTTTCGCCCCCCGCCCGCCTTCAGAAGAGGTCCTGGACCTCTTCTGAAGGCGGGCGGGGGGCGAAAGTCTTTGCTCCCCCCCCTTCAAAAGCTGTCCTGGACAGGCTTGCGGACCTCTCCACAAGCAGCGGGAGCGCTCCCGCTGCTTGCGGAGAGTTGCCAGCATGCCGAAGCCTGCGCGCGCTGAGATCAGCGCGCCCAGGCTTCGCGGCCCCGCCGCCCGGCATCGGAGCTTGGTTCCGATGCCGGGCGGCAGGAGAAGGCGTCCCCGCCCCGCCGCCCGTTCCGATGCCGGCGGCGGGAGGAGGCGTTCCCGCCCCGCCGCCCAGAATCGGAGCTTCGTTCCGAAGCCGGGTGGCGGGAGGAGGTCCGAGGACAGTGGGGAAGACGCGCTGCGCTTCCCCGCTGTCCCGGAGATTTCCCTATGGGCTTTCGTCTTGCGAAGCAAGCCCATAGGGAAATTCGTTTTGCGAAGCGCCTCCAAAACGGAAAACCCTTTCGTCTAGCGGGTTTTCCGTCTTGCGAGGCGTTCGTCTTGCGGGGTACCACTGTATCTGCTGTGCATGTAAAAAGGGGAATGTAAACTCTGCTAAGTAAAGGAACTTTCTAGAGCAAGTTAGGAAGGATAGTAATAAACAATATATCCTCTCTGCCAACCCTGAACATTCCCACACATTCAAGTAAATCAATAAAAATACTTAACTGAGGTTCTGCACCCCCCAACAGATATCCTAGCCCCACACATGCCGCAACACATCTCTCCCCATACCTTCTTGTTGCACAGTAAAGTACAGAAACAAGGCATGTGCCAGACAGAAAACGTCCACTATATGGGACACAGGTAGCAAATTCATCAGGATCCCGTGGGAGAAAGGGGTGCAGAGTACAGCTTCCTGTCCTGAGTTTGAAACCGAGAGGCTCAGAACATGCAGATCTGAGGCCTGGGGGGGAAGGAGCTCACCGGCCACTTGAAGTGGAAAGGGACCCGGATGGGCCCGCTGGTGGCCACGGCGTTGTGGTCAGCAGGGACGATGTCGCTCAAGGCTGCCCCAAAGGTGCAGGGGGGCTCCGGGGAAACCACGGCCTGGGCGTGCTTCAGGCAGACGCGGAAGAAGAGGCGGCAGGGCTGGCCGCCGTGGCAGAAGCTCCGCAGGCTGGTGGTGGTGAAGGAGTGGACTTGAAGTTCAAAGACGCCAGCCAGCTCAGCCTGTGCGCAATAAAGAGAAGAGGGGGAAACCAGTTAACACAGGAGAGTCCTTGCAGCCCCCTCCCTCTGAACTATTACAGGAACACAGGAAGCTATCTGCCTGACACCGAATTTTCTGCACTGACTGGTGATAGGATACGATATCTTTATTGTCATTGTCCCATAAAAGGTAAAGGTAAAGGTACCCCTGCCCGTACGGGCCAGTCTTGCCAGACTCTAGGGTTGTGCGCCCATCTCACTCAAGAGGCCGGGGGCCAGCGCTGTCCGGAGACACTTCCGGGTCACGTGGCCAGCGTGACATCGCTGCTCTGGCGAGCCAGCGCAGCACACGGAAACGCCGTTTACCTTCCCGCCAGTAAGCGGTCCCTATTTATCTACTTGCACCCGGGGGTGCTTTCGAACTGCTAGCTTGGCAGGCGCTGGGACCTGAGCAGCGGGAACGCACCCCGCCGCAGGGATTCGAACCGCCGACCTTTCGATCGGCAAGCCCTAGGCGCTGAGGCTTTTACCCACAGCGCCACCTGCGTCCCTTCATTGTCCCATACAGAACAATGAAATGGAAAAATCTACATAAGACATTCAAAAACTCTGAAACCCCATTTTAAAATACAATATACTCCTATAGAGACTCCTTTTACTGCGTTTAAAACCAGAAATGCATTTGGGTAGAAACTGTTTCTCAGGTGGCTGGTCCTAGTCTTTATAACCCTGTACAGTGGCGCTCCAAGATTTCTGGCAGGGGTCTTTTCACAGTGCTTCCTGGAGGTGCCGCTAGGAATTGAACCTGGAATTTCCTGCATCGTGCACAGCAAATGCTCTGCCACTGAACTATTCATTTATTGATACCAATATTTGTATACCACTATGTCATAAATAAGGGACGCGCATGGCGCTGTGGTCTAAACCACTGAGCCTCTTCGGCTTGCCGATCAGAAGGTCAGTGGTTCGAATCCCCGCCACAGGGTGAGCGCCCGTTGCTCAGTCCCTGCTCCTGCCAACCTAGCAGTTCGAAAGCATGTCAAAGTGCAAGTAGATAAATAGGTACCGCTCCGGCAGGAAGGTAAACGACGTTTCCGTGCGCTGCTCTGGTTCGCCAGAAGCGGCTTAGTCATGCTGGCCACATGACCCAGAAAAACTGTCTGCGGACAAACACCGGCTCCCTCGGCCAGTAAAGCGAGATGAGCACGCAACCCCAGAGTCGTCTGCGACTGGACTTAACGGTCAGGGGTCCTTTACCCTTATGTCATAAATATACATACAGTGGTACCTCTGGTTATGTACTTAATTCATTCCAGAGGTCCGTTCTTAACCTGAAACTGTTCTTAACCTGAAGCACCACTTTAGTTAATGGGGCCTCCTGCTGCCGCTGCGGCGCCGGAGCACGATTTCTGTTCTCATCCTGAAGCACTATTTCTGGGTTAACGGAGTCTGTAACCTGAAGCGTATGTAACCTGAGGTACCACTGTGGATATATAACCGTATTTTTCTGTGTATAACACGCCCCTGTGTATAAGACGCCCCCTATTTTGGGGGACTCAAAATTAAGAAAATAGGGGGAGCCTGCCATGGGTTGTTAAGCTTTTTTGGGGGGGCTGCCGAAAATTGGTCACCCAGCGTGCAAACACTGACAAAGGCGAGCGTTGCCGAAGCCACCAATCGTCTGCCCGTTCAATGCCGGCAGCCGCCAAAAAACCCCCAATTGCCGCAGCGGCAGCCCATCACAAACAGCCCTTGCGACAGCCACCAATCGCCCACCCTTGTGACGCTGAGAATCTCCTGCTCGCAGCTGAAACCAATCGCCCCCCCCCCCTGCACTGTGTATAAGATGAGCCCCAATTTTTAACATCATTTTAAAATAAATAAAAAACATCGTCTTATGCACGGAAAAATATGGTGTATCTCAAAGCGGTTTACAGCGATAGAAACATAAAACCATACAAAGGTTAAATGCAGACATCAATTACGCATTATGGAAGGATGAATTCTTAACTGCCTTCATAGGCTTGGTGGGCACAGTTATTCCATACTATTGGCAGAGTATTCCACAGGACTGGGCCAATGACACAAAAGGCTTGGCTTCTCATGGTCAAATGAGCCTCACCAACTTGGGGAATGACCAACAATGTACCTGCAGCCGGTGTTAGAAACTCGGATATATAAACTAGGCACCAAATGGCTCCTTAAACCAATGTTGCAGTCACCAAAACGGAATGTCTAATTGCCATCTGGGGGCCAGACAGCTCTAAAGGCTTTTCAAATGATAGACTGACTGTGATGGATTCTCAGTTAAACATCTGGCTAGTTCAGATGGCAAGCTTGAGCTAGGTGAAGAGCTTTGAGAACTGAAAGAAGAGAAGTCACTTGGTCCAGGGATAGTCCACATATATATTGGCCTATTAATCCAAATTCTTTTTCTTAACGGTGATTCTTCCTGCTCAGGCTGCCCAGAAAACGCAATTAGGTTCCAGAAATTCATTTCTGATTGTGCAGATAAAATAGAACTGACAGAATACAATAGGGTGGGGTATCAGTGTGTGAAAACAGTCCAAATCCAGTGATCCCCAGATGGTGGAGACGTCAGACGCCATCCTGACGCCCAGGAATCTTCACTTGGTCGCAAGTGGTCAAAAGCCGGGTGCAAAATGCGCCTAGCGCTTGGCTAATTTCGAACACTGCCTGCAGCTGATCTCAGTGATCTGAGCTGGGATGTAAGGGTTCAGGTAATCCCTGAGGTACCCTTGACCTAAGTTGTTCAAGAACCTTGAACCTAGCTCAGCAGTAAGTGGCAGTAACAATGTCCCTTTCCCCATCCTTACTCCTTCCTCACAGCCTTTTATCCAGGCAGGAAGTGAAATTTGCACAGTGGGCAACAGTCAGCTAGCCAACCTCCAAGTTATGCTCTGGACCCAATATGCTTGCCCTGAGGCCTCAGCCCACAACCCCCCTGGCCCAGGCAGGGGGGGGGGGCTGCACTGCAGCTGCTCACAAAGCACAAACTTCATGGGTAGGCAAACTAAGCCCCAGGGGCCGGATCCGGCCTAATCGCCTTCTTAATCCAGCCCACCGACGGTCTGGGAATTAGTGTGTTTTTACATGAGTAGAATGTGCGCTTTTATTTAAAATGAATCTCTGGGTTATTTGCGGGGCATAGGAGTTCGTTCATCCCCCAATATAGTCCGGCCCCCCACAAGGTCTGAGAGACAGTGGACTGGCCCCCTGCTGAAAAAGTCTGCTGACCTCTGAAACTTCATAAACCCCCTCCAATGCTGCAGCCAGTTCCCAGAGTACAGTGGTACCTCGGGTTAAGAACTCAATTCATTCTGGAGGTCCGCTCTTAACCTGAAACTGTTCTTAACCTGAAGCACCACTTTAGCTAATGGGGCCTCCTGCTGCTGCCGCCACATGATTTCTGTTCTCATTCTGAAGCAAAGTTCTTAACACAAGGTACTATTTCTGGGTTAGTGGAGTCTGTAACCTGAAGCGTCTGTAACCTGAGGTACCACTGTACTTATGGCTGCCAACCTTTTCAGAAGCTCTAGCAGGAGCGTCTTACTCATAGACGTTAGTGACGCGGGCGCCAGGGCGCCAGATTTTGGGGGTGCCACAGGCTGAGTGTCCGGGAAGGAGAGTCAGGGCGCGCTCCCTTCCCCGCTCCCCTCCTCTCAGCCACCCATCGGAGCATGCTGCGTCCAGCTCAGGGAAGCCCCTTCGCGTCCCCTTCTGCCAGGGCAGCCTGGGTGCCTGACAGGCGCGATCGGGGGTGGGCACAGGGCGCCCCTCTCTGGCCGCGCCGCTGCCTGCGCACCTCCCTGCGGAGTCTGCGAGTGGAGCAGGGAAGCGCCCTGTGCGATCCCGACGCCAAGCGAGGATGGCACAGCTGGCAAGCCACCTGATCTGCTTGCTGGCCCTCCTGTGGCGCAGACTTCCCTGGATGGGGGCAGGCAAGGGGCACCGGGCGCTTAGAGGGAGGCTTCACGGGAGGCCATCTGGGTTGCAATCTGGGCGCCTCTTACTTACGTGCAGCACTGAGCGCACATTGGACCACGCGATGTAAAGGAGCCATACCAAAGCGCGCCCCCCTAAAAAAGGTTGACAACTCTGGGAAATGGGGGGCAGCGCCGGAAAGATATTTGCACCATGGCGCCCGATATGCTTAAGACGGCCCTGAGCTCTTGCGACAGGAACTACAGCTGGATTTGGCAACATCACCTTGCCAACAAAGGTCCGTATAGTTCAAGCTCTGGTTTTCCCAGTAGTGATGAATGGAAGTGAGCGCTGGACCATCAAGAAGGCTGATCACCAAAGAGTTGGTGCTTTTGAATTCTGGTGCTGGAGGAGACTCTGGAGAGTCCCATGGACTGCAAGAAGATCCAGCCTCTCCATTCGGAAGGAAATCAGCCCTGAGTGCTCACTAGAAGGACAGATCCTGAAGCTGAGGCTCCAAGACTTTGGCCACCTCATGAGAAGAGAAGACTCCCTGGAAAAGACCCTGATGTTGGGAAAGATGGAGGGCACAAGGAGAAGGGGACGGCAGAGGACGAGATGGTGGGACAGTGTTCTCGAAGCTACCAGCATGAGTTTGACCAAACTGCGGGAGGCAGTGGAAGACAGGAGTGCCTGGTGTGCTCTGGTCCAGGGGGTCACGAAGAGGCAGACACGACTCAACAACAACAACAACCAGTTGAAAGTGTTCATCTCCATGCTGTCAAAAAATTAACAATTGCCCGATTTCTACACACTGTTGTAGAGTAGGGCTGCCATATTTCAAAAAGTGAAAATCCAGACACAAAAGTTCTTGAGCTTTTTAAAAATTCTGGCCAAAGTTGTTGAGCTTTTTGGGCAAAATTTTGCCGGACGTTTTGTCGTTTTCCCACCCATGTGCTGCTTCCGACCGCAGGGTTCCGGCATCCTGTTCTCACAGTGGCCAACCAGATGTCTGCAGGGAGCATGTTGCCCAGAAACTTGCATCATGCTCCCCACCCCCTCTGACCATGACAAGGGCTCTTTCTTCCTCTGAGCTCTTTTTGCAGAGAAAGCAATGTCTCTTTCCCAGACACCCCCATCTAGAGCAGGACACTGGAGTCACTCTCCCAGTCTCTTTCTTTAGGCCCCCACCTCCTTTTACAACCATAGCGAACCATATACAGTCATACCTTGGGTTACAGACGCTTCAGGTTGTGTTTCTTCGGGTTATGGACTGCCAAAACCCGAAGTACCAGAATGGGTTAATTCTGGGTTTTGGCAGTCGTGCATGCGCAGAAGTGCTAAATCGGACTTTGTGCATGCGCAGAAGCACCGAATCGCAATCCGCGCAGACGCAAAGCTGCAGGTTGTGAACGTGCATCCCGCACGGATCACGTTCGCAACCCGAGCATCCACTGCACTCACAACAGAATCTAAATTACAGTGGTACCTCGCAAGACGAATGCCTCGCAAGATGGAAAACTCGCAAGACAAAGGGTTTTTGGTTTTTTGAGTTGCTTCGCAAGACGATTTTCCCTATGGGCTTGCTTCGCAAGACGGAAACGTCTTGCAAGTTTGTTTCCTTTTTCTTAACACCGTTAATACAGTTGCGACTTGACTTCGAGGAGCAACTCATAGCACGCGGTGTGGTAGCCTTTTTTGAGGTTTTTGAAGACTTTGGTGATTTTTGAAGCTTTTCCAAAACTTTTCCGACACTGTGCTTCGCAAGACAAAAAAATCGCAAGATGACAAAACTCGTGGAACGAATTAATTTCGTCTTGCGAGGCACCACTGTACAATCTACATTAATTACACTGCACACTTTCCCTCCATTCTGGAAAAAGCAGTTCCTGGCCTTCCATTGGTCTCTGCTTAGACATTTCCATTGTGTGTCTCTCTCTCTCTCATATACACACACACAGAACATTTCACACAAATTCCACCCTACTTTCCCGACTCTGGAGGCAGATATATTTGTGTGTGTTGGCGGCAGGAGGGAAGGAGACAAGCTTCCTGGAGGAACTGTAAAGACTTTATAGACGTAGCACCCACCCCACTTTTGTGAGGAAACCCTCGCACTTTTGCAAACAGCCACGTGAAACAAATTTGCTGCTCTCCTGCTTCTCCTCACAGAATCCATGGCCAGATAGCTCACCCATCGGATGTTCCCTGAAGCAGCCCCGACCTGGTGGAAATTAGACTGGCCTCAACGAGAGCCAGGGCCTTTTGGGCTGTGGCCCCTGCCTGGTACAACGTTCTCACAAGAGACCAGGGCCCTGCGGGATCTGACATCTTTCCGCAGGGCCTGCAAGACAGAGCTGTTCTGCCCGGCCTCTGGGCAGGATGCCGTTTGACTTACTTACTTCCCTTTGCGTAAAACAAGCTCAAAGGAGGCCCCCAACCTGCTCACAGGTCCTTGTATGATCAGTGGAAACAATTGGTCCTGGCAAGTCTTAAGCACATTGTGTTGTTTTTATGATGTTAGCCGCTCTGAGCCCGGTCTTGGCCGGGGAGGGCGGGATACGAATAAAAATTTATTTATTTATTTGCATTTATTATAAAGACACCCCAGTATTGAAGGTGAAAACCTGAGCCTATACAGTGGTACCTCGGGTTACAGACGCTTCAGGTTACAGACGCCGCTAACCCAGAAATAGTACCTCGGGTTAAGAACTTTGCTTCAGGGTGAGAACAGAAATTGCGCAGCGGCGGCAGCGGGAGGCCCCATTAGCTAAAGTGGTGCTTCAGGTTAAGGACAGTTTCAGGTTAAGAACGGACCTCCGGAACGAATTAAGTTCTTAACCCGAGGTACCACTGTACATGCTTTCCTGGAAGGGTTTGTGAGAAGGAATGCAGCCTAAGCCTAAACCTAATTGCATCCGGAGTTTATTATTTATTACGGTACATTTTAGATCTCTCCTTCGTTCATGAATTCCAGAGGGTTGGACTAGATGACCCGTGGGGTCACTTCCAAATCTATGATTCTATGACCGTTCCTTCAAGGAGTCTGAGGTGGCACACACTGTTCTCGCCCTCTCCATTTAATTCCCCCAACAGCCCTGAGAAGTAGGTTATGCTGAGAGACAGTGACAGGCCAAGGCCACCCAGGCAGCTTCATGGATGGGTGGAGATTTGAACCCGGCTCTCTGGTCCGAGTCTGACACTCTAAGCACACTAGCATCCAGAGTCTGCTTTTTCAACACCAAGAAGATAAATAAACTTTCTTCGCATTAGCAACAGTAAAACATTACAGTATACGCAGAAAAAGAAATTTGATACAAAAGCACAATTTAAAGTCCCGAATCAGAAAGGCTGAAACTACATTTGGCAACCGTGATCCAAAACACTGCCACAAAAAGGTTTCAACACCAAGGGTCAACTCTGGAGTAATAAAGATGGGGTTGGTTGGTTTGGGGGACGGCGACACACAGTTCCAAAACACCTGAAAGACTAATTTATCGTGGCAAGAACCAAGCGCACAAAGAAGACAGTAAAGAGGGGGGGGGTGTCAAAAAAGAAGACCGCTGTGCTTACACGCTGGTCCAGCGGAGACAGGAGGAATTGCGATGCAAGATTAAAATGCAAATGGCCTGGGAAGAAAGAGCACTGGTCAGGGTGGGTAGGAAGAGTGTAAGATTTAAGTGTAAAAACAAGACTTGTTAGACAGTGGAATGGCCTCTCTAGGGCAGTGGTGGACTCTCCTTCCTGAAGGTTTTGAGGCAGAGGTTGGATGGCCATCTGTCATGGATGCTTTAGCTGAGATTCCTGCATTGCAGGGGGTTGGATAGATGACCCCCGGGGATCCCTTCTGACTGATTCCATGACTGCACTGATGTCTAAGAACCTAAGAAGAGACCTGTTGGATCAGGCCAAGGGCGCATCTAATCCAGTATCCTGTTCTTGCAGTGGCCAACCAGATCTGTGGATCCCAAATAGAGGTCCATGCTATGGGGCAGGGAGGGCTTCTGGGGATGCCCCCCAAACAGCCACAAATGCTGCGAGAAATCTACTACTAAAGCAATACTTTGATGTGCAGATCTCAATCTCTCTCTCTCACACACACACACCCCTAACCCAGACCCTGAAAGTTGCAGTCATTAAGTGGAAGAAAACATCTGCTCTTTTATTCCTGTCCTTCAGGTCAATGCCTTCTGCAACCAGGCGGGGGCCCCGTTGCCAGGTCAGAGAAGGGGAGTAGCCAGGAAGAGGGGCTTATCACTCCTGCTCAATATTTCATGCCAACAGCACACAAGAACTCATCTTCCCAAACAGATTGCTGAGCTAGAGGTTTTTTAAAAGTCTAGGACAGTGGTGGCTGTTGCTGAACTCCCATCATCCCTAACTTTTGGCTATGGCGGATGGAGGCAAAAGTTCAGGAGAGAAAAACCCAGTTCACAAAGGATTCAGCAACAAGTTTTCATGGGGGCCGCAGGCAATAAAGACAAAACGGCGCTTTGATTCAAGAAAGACCCCGATTCATTTAACCGCTCTTCTCTTTACCACTGACACACACAGCAACCAAAGCTAAGCAAACTTCAACACCCAAACTTCTCTTTTTAGAACACCGTCATCCACTCTAACTAAAATCCCAGTTTTGGTGAAATGTCTAACAGAAGACATTTCCAGATCTTGCCCTTTTAATCTCTGTGCAATTGCTGCATCGGAATCTTAGTCTCATCAGGCACCCATTATCATCACCCGTGCAAATAGCGTTTTCCGAAAGCGTGCCCAAAGTTGTTATACTGAACTGCCTCTGGAATTGCAGAGTGACGGGGAAGCGATAAATGCAGATACTGTACGTACATCAATAAAACATCAGCCTGCACCCCACCGCTTCATTCAATCTTGGATTTACCCTTTGCAGGGGAAATCTGAGCGTTTCTTTTTCAAAAAACCTGTTGCAAACAACCCACTTGCGATAGGGCAACGACCCATTTACAGTACTAAGCCCTTGTCTGGAAGCAGCCTAATTAAAAATCACATTTTGTTTTAAACGCAGCACAAAAAACTTCTGAAGACAACAGCAGATGTGCTCCACGCAAGTTCCTTTTGCTTTACCAACCCAGGACCAGATTCCTTTAAAAACAATCAATCAACTTCCTTCTGTTCTGCTCTATTTCCGAAGGATTTAGTAACCACCACAGTTGCTTAAATTAAGAGTGTTGGATGAGGACTGGGCCACTCAGCCATGACCCCTCGCCACATCACCTTGGTCCATCAACCTAACCTACCTCAGTTGCTGAAAGAATAAAACGGGGGGGGGGCATATATACTACATTTAGGTCCGTGGAAGAAAGGCAGGATATGCAATTAATAAGAAGTAGCTATTATAAGGATCCAAAGTTTCATGATAGCACTAGTTTAAGCAAGTCCTATCTAGAGATACGCAGGCTTCCAAAAGGCTGCACACATTTTCCACCTATACACAGTAATGTGGACTAGAAACTTGAAAAACCCGACATCTGGCACGACCTTCCTTTTACTATGAACATCTTGCCTGAGACCTCGGGGTTTGCAGCCTGAAGGCTGGGGTGCCAAACGCAGCCTTCTTCCCCAGAGCGCACGCAAACGGACCGGTCTCCTTCCATAGGTGACAACTCCCTGGGTCCCCGGGCACCCGCAAAATTCTATTAAGGGGCCCGGGGTACCCACAAATCTCGGTGCCAGGGCCATGCACGATGCACGGCACCCACAGTTGACACTCCTGTCTGTCTCCTACTCAACAACAAAGCTTGGGCACACACGAGCGGAAGGGCTACTTTATTCGCAGCAAACCACCTGGTCCTCCTCGGATTCACCTAAAATCGCCGTAAACGGGCATCGGGAGCGGGAGGCGAAGGCACCTTTAACTCCTACACCCCTCCTCGCGCGTAGGAAACGGCGCGTTTTGCCCGCGGGTCCGGCTGCGCGCTCTCTTTACGCGCGAGAATCCGATGGCTGCGCACTCACCCGCGGGGCGCACAGCAGCGCCAGGAAGCCGGAGAAGAGGAGGCGGAGAGCCATGTAGCCGGGACTCCAAGGAGAGGAGGAAGGCAAGCTCCTGAGACTCTGCAGAGAGCCAAGTCCCCGGCGAGCGGCGTCCAAGAGCAGCAGCAGAAGGGGAGAAGTTGAGCCAAAGCGGCGGGGAGCGCAGACGAAGCCGCAGGTGCCGCGCCGGGGAACAGGCTGGAGATCAAACAGGAGCAGGAAGGCACGCGCGCAGCTTATGAATGGAAGCGTAAAGGGGCCCCTCCGAAGCTCTTATAGGCAGGGCGGGCCTTGGCCCCGCCTCCGGCAGCCAGAGGCCACGCCCCCTCGGAGAAGCAAAAACTTTCCAAACCGCTCCCCCCGACGTCTTCTCTTTTCTTCTTTGCACAATGAGACCTGCTAGCTGCTGTCTTAGAGGGAAGGCCGAGAGGAAGCAGGCAGGACGCCTGGGTCCCCTTGGAAAAGTCGAGGTAAGAGAGTGGCTGGTTGGTTGGAGCAGAGAAAGGCTTGCTTTTCTCTCTCTTTCTTATTCAGTTCTCTCAACACACAGCAGCGTCACCAAGATATATAATGAAATATGGCACCTTGACCCAGGAGCTGGTGTTTCGGGAGCACGTGCAAAATAACACCCAAATAACATTCAGGTCTTATCCTAGGCGGCACGAAACATTTCGGTGAACTTAAACGGGAAGGTTTTTGTTTCTGTTCCCACTTTTCTTCCAAGGAATTCAGAGGCAGCAGCACCCATTTTATCCCACCAACAACCCTGTGAGGTGACTTAGGCTGAGACTCGTATTAACCAGCCCAAGGTCAAAGGGCAGATTCCTGCCCACTTTGCTCCCACAGCTGCTCCTTGCCCCAGGCAGCCGTGTTGCTCTCTTTTATTTGCATTTACTTATTGCATTTATTCACACCCCCAAAGTGGGGTCCCCAGGGAGTCTCACCAGACCCCAACCAGCTCAGCTTCAACAGAATGGTGGCTGAAGTTGCCTTGAGAGGATATACGCGGGTGGCGCTGTGGGTAAAACCTCAACGCCTAGGACTTGCCGATCGCATGGTCGGCGGTTCGAATCCCCGTGGCGGGGTGAGCTCCCGTTGCTCGGTCCCAGCGCCTGCCAACCTAGCAGTTCTAAAGCACCCCCGGGTGCAAGTAGATAAATAGGGACCGCTTACTAGCGGGAAGGTAAACGGCGTTCCGTGTGCTGCGCTGGCTCGCCAGATGCAGCTTGTCACGCTGGCCATGTGACCCGGAAGTGTCTTTGGACAGCGCTGGCTCCCGGCCTATAGAGTGAGATGAGCACACAACCCTAGAGTCTGGCAAGACTGGCCCGTACGGGCAGGGGTACCTTTACCTTTTACCTTTAATAGCAGGAAGGTCCATATAGTTAATGCTCTGGTTTTCCCAGTAGTGATGTATGGAAGTGAGAGCTGGACCATCAAGAAGGCTGATCGCCGAGGAATTGACGCTTTTGAATTCTGGTGTTGGAGGAGACTCTTGAGAGTCCCATGGACTGCAAGAAGATCAAGCCTCTCCATTCTTAAGGAAACCAGCCCTGAGTGCTCACTGGGAGGACAGATCCTGAAGCTGAGGCTCCAAGACTTTGGCCACCTCATGAGAAGAGAAGACTCCCTTGAAAAGACCCTGATGTTGGGAAAGATGGAGGGCACAAGGAGAAGGGGGCGACAGAGGACGAGGTGGTGGGACAGTGTTCTCGAAGCTACCAGCATGAGTTTGACCAAAGTGTGGGAGGCAGTGGAAGACAGGAGGGCCTGGCGTGCTCTGGTCCAGGGGGTCACGAAGAGGCGGACACGACAAAACGACTAAACAACAACAATAGCAGGAACCCCCCTGAAAAAGCAGTTTCCTCTGAGGGAGATGCAGCACCAGGAAAAGCAAAGCTGCACCAGCTGAATTTCTGCCCTCTAGGCATCCGTTCGAGGCAAAGAACCTAGAGGGCAGGTTCTCTTTAACAGTTTGAAAGGAGCAGATAATCAAGTTGTCCGTTCTCTACAAGAGCTTCCGCCTCTGTTTCTCTCAAGTTTTATTTTACAAAATCTCCCCCATCTCTCTCTCTCTGGCTGGAACCGTACAGCAGTGGTTTTTATTTCGTTTGAAAGGTTCTGGGGAGAGGGGCACTCTGAGAACAGCAGGATTGCTCCAGCTGTATGCTAATCGTAGCACCTGCCCCCTTAAAAGTCCCTGGAGCCAGCGCTGTCCTTCCAAGTCCTCTGACTCTGCGGCCTGCCATCCCCAGCGTGCTGGCGGGTCTCATTGATAACCAACTGGATTCGCTTCCAAGTAAATACAGTTTTTCTGCCCACGTTTCTTAATCCCATCAAGCGCTCCAGCTCATCCTCATCATGTGCAAGAAAACTAACATCATATTTAAAACTCCCCAGGGGCGGGGGGAGTGCTGGCATATAACCTAAGCACCAGGCAGCATTGTTGGAGGTTTCCCATTTGACTCCGGATTGATGGCTCTGAAAATTATAGCAAACAACACTTGTTGAAAAATTCTCGAAACGTCTAAAAGCAAAAATTAGCAACACAGGCTGTAATGGATTGCCCAGTAGGCAGACTTAAGCACCAAATTATTTTCAGTGCTTAGGGACTCTAAAGGTCTTAACCTCGCCCTGCCCTGATGATTTTGTTGTTACTTTATTCAGTATATCTGAGCAGCTAACGTTTAAGGGACCCACTGGTAACACCTCATGGACAATTATATTCAGACAAAAGGTAAAAGACCCCTGATAGTTAAGTCCAGACACAAACAACTCTGGGGTTGCGACACTCATCTCACTTTACTGACCGAGGGAGCCGGCGTTTGTCCACAGACAGTTTTTTCTGGGTCGTGTGGCAAGCATGACTAAGCCGCTTCTGGCGAAACCAGAGCAGTGCACGGAAACGCTGTTTACCTTCCCACCAGAGCGCTACCTATTTAGCTACTTGCACTTTTTGGCGTGCTTTTGAACTGCAAGGTGGGCAGGAGCTGAGACTGAGCAACGGGAGCTCACCCTGTCATGGGGATTCGAACCGCCGACCTTCCGAGGCTCAGTGGTTTAGACCACAGCACCACCCGCGTCCCTAATGAGATCTGTACTTGTACACCCAAAGACAAAGGAGGGTGTAGGGAATATTACATTTGTTTTAGGTTTATTGCATAACTTGTGGGAAATCAACAAATTAATAGATAGATGATAGATAGATTAGATGATAGATGATAGATAGATAGATAGAGTAGATACGATAGATAGATAGATAGATAGATGATAGATAGATGATAGATACGATAGATAGATAGATTAGATAGATAGATAGATAGATGATAGATGGATAGATAGATGATAGATAGATAGATAAGATAGATAGATGATAGATGAGATAGATATAGATTAGATAGATAGATAAGATAGATAGATAGATAGATAGATATAGATAGATAGATGATAGATAGATAGATATAGATAGATAGATGATAGATAGATAGATAGATAGATAGATAGATAGATAGATAGATAGATAGATAGAGATAGATAGATAGATAGATAGATAGATAGATAATAGATAGATAGTAGAATAATAGATGATAGATGAGATAGATGATAGATAATAGATGATAGATAGATAAGATAGATAGATAGAATGATAGATAGATTGATAGATGATAGATATAGATAGATAGATAGATGATAGATATAGATGATAGAAGATAGAATAGATAGATGATGATAGATAGATAGATAGATAGATAGATAGATGATAGATAGATGATAGATAGATAGATGATAGATAGATAGATGATAGATAGATAGATGATATAGATAGATAGATGATAGATAGATAGATAGATGATAGATGATAGATAGATAGATAGATGATAGATAGATAGATATAGATAGATAGATAGATAGATAGATAGATAGATATAGATAGATAGATAGATAAGATGATGATAGATAGATAGATAGATGATAGATAGATAGATAGATAGATGATAGATAGATAGATAGATAGATAGATGATAGATAGATAGATAGATGATAGATAGATAGATAGATAGATAGATAGATAGATAGATAGATAGATAGATAGATGATAGATAGATAGATGATAGATAGATGATAGATAGATAGATAGATGATAGATAGATAGATAGATAGATGATAGATAGATAGATAGAAGATAGATAGATAGATAGATAGATAGATAGAAGATAGATAGATAGAATAGATAGATGATAGATAGATAAGATGAATAGATACAGATAGAAAGATGAATAGATAGATAGATAGATAGATGAATAGAAATAGATAGATATAGATAGATAGATAGATAGATAGATGATAGATAGATAGATAGATAGATAATATGATAGATAGATAGATAGATGGATAGATAGATAGATAGATGAGATAGATAGATGATAGATAGATAGATAGATAGATAGATAGATAGTGACAGATAGATAGATAGATAGATAGATTAAGGTCATATTCTATGGGATCGCAGTTAGAGGAGTTTTTCAGGGAAGCTCCATTAGCAACAGGAGATCCAAAGGTTTGGCCAACACATATTCTTTAACTGTTTGACAACGCAACAGTAACATAAGCGCTGCTTCTTATCTAAAAAGAAACACACACCACACGATCAGAAGATACAACAGGAGGGGATCTTTTTATCGAGCATTTAGAGACCTGTGTATTTAGCATAATAATTTGTCCCTCCCTTTCTCCTGATTTTTCAACCTCCCGTGGTGTTCAGGCACAACAGGTTTTGATCTGTGAGAAATCTGAGTGACTGAGGAGTCTGTGGGACCCCAGAGCTTACACTTCCTAAATTCCCCATCCTACAATGGCAACCAGTTCACTGAATGTGTAACAAGTGTTTTAACACGACACAACTTGAAACCCTGATTAAAAAACCCCCACATCACTTCTGTTTGCTTTCCAACTCGGAGCGTACAGAGTCTGATTCTCTGTTCACCTTTTCTTCCACTCCCCCACCTCCATTTTTTCCTCAGGCCCTCCCACATGCCCCCAGCTTCGGCTGCTGACCTGGGAGTGCTTTGGCAAACTGTTGATTATTATTTGAAGGTGGGGAGAGAGAGATATCTGTACCTCAGCTGTGACTCCTGGACAGGTTCAGTCCAGAAGGTGCCAGCTGTTGTGTCCATGGACTGAAGCATGGGAGGGGAAAAATGCTCAGTCAAACATGCCCCCCAGTAGCTAAGTTGATCTCCATGTTCCCTCAACTGGAAGAATGGCCAACCTTTGCTTC